GGATGAGCTAATGATTTATTAACGTAGTAGAATGAAGCAGGGTGAGGCTGAAAGCCGTCGAAGCGAAACGAGGCCGCTGAACGAGCACGACACATGGCTCAAAAGCAGCGGAGCTTTAATTATGCCAGTCGACCGCTTCCGTTCCTTCCGGAAAGCAGTGGCAGTAAGCAGCGCTGTTTTATCATACTAGATACATTTGAACGTTCTGTTATAATGCTACTCTGTGCGGTCGTCACCAGTCTAATAAAATGCATAGCATATTAAAGCGTCTTTGGTGTTTCCATGTTTTCCACAAAAACAAAACCGGAATTCGAGGGGTTATGACGTCATCGGCAGGCGACACAATGACACTATGGAAACGCTCCGTGTCACTAGTTAAAATTGCTTATTGACACAAACAAATCGAATTCTAGTTCAGAACCTGACCAAATCATAAAACAATCCAAAATGGATTGTTATTATAGATATGATCTAGGTTGTTTTCCGTGCAGAAATTGTGCCGCGTGCCAGAATTTGATAAAGTGTAAACAGTTTATATGTCCAAGAACACGGAAATGCTTTAAAATTGCATCTTGTATTACCTGTTCAACTCGTAACGTGATCTATATGTTAAAATGTCCTTGCCAAAAATATATATAGGAAAATCATTGCATCAGTTGGAATTGCGAATTAATGAACATAAATCAAGTATAAGACGACAAGACATAACCTCTCAAGTAGCTAGACATTTCAACGAGCTGAGAAATGACATCAAACAATTGGAATGTATAGGTATAGAGGAAGTTTTCGGATTGCATATAAATATAAATAAAGAATTATTAAAACGAGAAGCATTTTGGATCTATCTCTGACTCTAAACGGCATGAATGAGGAATTAGATCTTTCTATTTTCCTTTAAAGGGGTGGTTCATTGCAATTTCACTTTTTTAACGTTAGTTAGTTTGTAATGTTGCTGTTTGAGTTGTTTACAATACAACCGGCGCACATGCCGCCGAGGTGAGGGGCGGGACGTTTAAACGCGCACTAGAGGCGGTTTAGCCAATCACAACACACTGGGCTAGCTAACCAATCAGAGCCCATTGCCTATTTCTGAGGGCGGGGCTTCATAAAAACAGGAAAAGATCAGCCGATATTTTCAAAGATCAAAGATATTTCACAGAGCGGTGTGAAATAAAGGTAAACTATGTGAAAAGTAATGAGTTTTTTTTTAAACGAAGCATTAACACATGTTAGACTGCACCCCATAAACACAATCAAGCCTAGAAAAAAACCCAGTGAACCAACCCTTTAATGAATTATAATTGGTCGTGTCCATCTTAAATATCTTGTGGAGTATATTTTAAGACCTGGAGTATATTTAACTATTCATTAAATTGTTTAATTGTATAATTGTGATAAATATGGGATCATATGTAAATCATGTTGTGGTCATGGGTATATGATGCAAAATGGAAATTGTCATATATATTTGAATGGCAATTCCATAAAAATGGAAATTGTCCAGCACACTGAAGAAGGCTTTCAACCGAAACGTTTGTGTTCATCCTACTGGTGATTCATTTAAAATAAAAAGCAAAAAGAAGACTATTTTTGTTGAGTGCGGATCATGGTTTTGTACGGTGCCGTCCCTAGACTTCTGGGGGCCCTACGCAAAACTGTGTCTGGGGTGGGGGGTATGAGTAGTTATGAACGAATGAATGAAACTCATTTGTCCGTGTTTCACTCCGTCTCCAATCGCGCTCGCGGAAAGCGCTTGAGAAACAGTGTCTCTTCCGCGGCTCAGTATGCTTTCAACTCGTTATTTTAGTATCAAGCAAGACATTCGCATTACATGATTTGACAAATTTTTACACAGAAAGGGTGACAGCGCATTAAAATAAATGATCATTCATGTTTTCATAACCGCTGGCCAAATTCAAAAACGAAATGAAAATTAAATCATCTTTGAGAGCAAAGGGTCCTCCTGGTGTTTCGGTGTATTTTGCGTATAGGGAGGATCGGCTCTGGTTTTATATATTAAACATTACTGATCTGTATTTTGAACCAGTTTGTGACATTAACTGTCCAAACAAACCAATTCACTAAAATGAATAATCAAAAATGTGACATAAAAACTGCAATGAAGCATTTTGTCACACTACACCATAAAAAAAAGCTTGTAAATGGAAAAGCTACAGTATACTATTGTGAAAACAGCTGTGCTACTGAAAAATGGCTAACACAAAGCAGCAGTTGTTGTAGTTAGCAATTCTTCATCCTTGTAGTACAGGTATACCCTTAGCAGATGCTTTCTTATCAAAGTACATAAATCACATAAATAAATAAACAAATATGAGAATATAATATATGTGAATATAAAATAAAATCTCACAAGATTGTCTCGACTGTTGTAGTGCACCATCCAGCCCTCTTTGACCAAAGTGGAGCTCCTCCGCTTGGTGTGTTTGATGGATTGGACCACACGCATCAGGGGGATATTGGTGCTGGTAGAGGGGCTTAAAGAAGATATGAGACACGGCAGTGATCGATAGTGTTGATGTGGATCATTGATCAAGAAAATTTAAACTCAGAACTTCTGACTCGATAGTTCACCCAAAAATAAAAATATTCTGTCAACATTTATTCACCCTCAAGTTACTCAGTCTAAACCTTTATGACTTTCTTTCTTCTGTTGAACACAACAGAAGACATTTAGAATAATGTTGGTAACCAATCCAAAGTTTGTCCCCACTGACTTCCACAGTATGAAAAAATACTATGTTAGTCAAACCAGAAACTGTTTGGTTACCCACATTCTTCTAAATATCTTATTTGTCTTCAGCAGAAGAAAGAAACTCATACAGGTGTGGTAAAACTTGAGGGTGAGTAAATTATGACAACATTTTCATTTTTGGGTGAACTATCCCTTTGTGCTTAAAAATCTGTTACATTTACATTTAATCATTTAGCAGATGCTTTGGTAACACTTTATTTTAGGGTCTCTTAACTAGTTGCTTATTAGCATGCATATTAATAGAATATTAGCCATTTATTAGTACTAATTAAGCACATATTAATGCCTTATTCTACATGACCTTATTCTACTTCCCTAATCCTACCCAATATCTAAACTTAACAACTACCTTACTAACTATTAATAAGCAGCAAATTAGGAGTTTATTAAGGGAAAAGTTGTAGTTAATAGTGAATAAGTGTTCCCTATTCTGAAGTGTTACCGACGCTTTTATCCAAAGTGACTTATAAATGACGACAATAGAAGCAATCAAACTAACAAAAGTGCAACAATAAACAAGTGCTGTGACAAGTCCCGGTTAGTCTAACACAGTTCACTTTGCAAGGATTTTTTTTTTATAAATAAAAAAAAAATGAAAAGTAGGAATATAATAGAGCACGCTAGTGTTAGAGGGTCAAGTTATTCTGATTTTTTTTTATAATAATGCATAAAAAGAAAACAAGTAGATAGTACAGAAATAGAATAGAGAGTTTTAGAGTTAGAGGGTCAAGTTTTTTTTTAAAATAAATAAATAAAAAGAAAACAAGAAGGTCAAGTGTAGATGGAAGAGATGTGTCTTTAGCCGTTTCTTGAAGATGCTCTGATTGAGTTGGGCAGGTCATTCCACCAGCAGGGAACAGTTAAGGTGAAAGTCTGTGAAAGTGACTTTTTGGGATGCCACTATAAAGCGACGTTCACTTGCAGAAGGCAAGCTTCTGGAGGCCACATAAATCTGAAGTAATGAATTTAGGTAACGGGGTGCAGAGCCCATGGTTGTTTTGTAGGTATTTCATAGTATTTATTATCCAGAGCATATACCTGATGGTTTTCACAGGTTCTTCATCTTTCTCACGGTCCATGAAGGGGGAGTCCATAAAGAAGATCTTGTCTTCTGGAGTGGTTGGTTCCTCTGAATCGTCCAGACCCCGACTGCTATCGCTGTTCACATCACTGCTGTCTACTTCCATCGTGGTATCAGAGTCAGGACCTGGGCTGGCAGGCTCTGAAAGAAACATACAGTAAACTTACATAATGATGTTTCTATTAGTACGTTTTTCATTTTAGTTGGATGTGGCTGAAAACCATAACCATACCTCCATTGAAGACTCCAAGACAGTCTTTCGGTACCTTTGAAGCACATCGCTTGTGGCAATTGAATTTACAGTCTAGTGAAGAAAACACATCATGATCACTTTTTTTTTATTCTACAGTTGACTAGAAATATTTCCTATTAGAAAGCGTAAAGGAAGATGGCGATACTCACCTTTGCACTGCATGCCCTGGCGGAAAAGCCCTTTGAGCAAACGTTTGCAGTACTGACAGATGGTGGGGCGGGTGTAGGTGTGAATGACAAAGGTGTGAGGGACCTTCACCCGCCCCAGCACCATCTTCTCCATCCAGATTGGCCGACCGCTCCATGACGGTATCCGCTTAGAGGGTCAAGTTATTCTGATTTTTTTTTATAATAATGCATAAAAAGAAAACAAGTAGATAGTACAGAAATAGAATAGAGAGTTTTAGAGTTAGAGGGTCAAGTTTTTTTTTAAAATAAATAAATAAAAAGAAAACAAGAAGGTCAAGTGTAGATGGAAGAGATGTGTCTTTAGCCGTTTCTTGAAGATGCTCTGATTGAGTTGGGCAGGTCATTCCACCAGCAGGGAACAGTTAAGGTGAAAGTCTGTGAAAGTGACTTTTTGGGATGCCACTATAAAGCGACGTTCACTTGCAGAAGGCAAGCTTCTGGAGGCCACATAAATCTGAAGTAATGAATTTAGGTAACGGGGTGCAGAGCCCATGGTTGTTTTGTAGGTATTTCATAGTATTTATTATCCAGAGCATATACCTGATGGTTTTCACAGGTTCTTCATCTTTCTCACGGTCCATGAAGGGGGAGTCCATAAAGAAGATCTTGTCTTCTGGAGTGGTTGGTTCCTCTGAATCGTCCAGACCCCGACTGCTATCGCTGTTCACATCACTGCTGTCTACTTCCATCGTGGTATCAGAGTCAGGACCTGGGCTGGCAGGCTCTGAAAGAAACATACAGTAAACTTACATAATGATGTTTCTATTAGTACGTTTTTCATTTTAGTTGGATGTGGCTGAAAACCATAACCATACCTCCATTGAAGACTCCAAGACAGTCTTTCGGTACCTTTGAAGCACATCGCTTGTGGCAATTGAATTTACAGTCTAGTGAAGAAAACACATCATGATCACTTTTTTTTTATTCTACAGTTGACTAGAAATATTTCCTATTAGAAAGCGTAAAGGAAGATGGCGATACTCACCTTTGCACTGCATGCCCTGGCGGAAAAGCCCTTTGAGCAGCCGTTTGCAGAACTGGCAGATGGTGGGGCGGGTGTAGGTGTGAATGACAAAGGTGTGAGGGACCTTCACCCGCCCCAGCACCATCTTCTCCATCCAGATTGGCCGACCGCTCCATGACGGTATCCGCTTCCCTGGCTCCTGATGGCGCTGCTGCAGCAGAGAAGTAACAACAAAACTGGCAACTGCAATTCACATACTGTGCACAGCATGCATGAGGCATACCAAACAAACACTACCGTACAAAAATGTGGGGTTAGTAAGATTTAGTTTTTAAATGAATACTTTTAGAATCAATCTTGTTGACAGTAAAGAATTTTACAGTGTTACAAAATTTTCTATTTCAAATTAATGCTGTCCTTTTGAACTTTGTATTCATCAACGAATCTATCTATCTATCTATCTATCTATCTATTTAATGTAATCTTGGTGAACATGAGACTTCTTTCAAAAACATTAAAAAAAAAAAACTCTTATTGATCCCAAACCTTTGAATGTTAGTGATTTCATAGTAGATGTACATGCAAGAATTAATTTTACAGCAGCCATTCATCTATATGAATGTAACACAGAGGAAATGGTTTTTACTGATTTCCTTTTTCACAGCACACATTCTCCTCAAGAATGTTTCGAAACTGGCCACTTAGTTAAAATAAAAGCTTGTTCAACCACAGAGGATTTCACACAGACACTGATCTCAACAAGACATGGAGAAATCAGAAAATAATTGATCTGATTTACCTTAATGCTTTTTAAAAAATGAGTTTTTATAGGGGTCAAAACAAAAGAACACTTTCTTTTCCTTCTTACGTATTACTGAGCTTATGTGGAGAACATTTCATTAGGTCTGAAATGCTGCCAGATGTAAAAGAGCTGAGTTTGTGATATTTCACATTTTAAATACAACTGCATGGTTTGGCGGAGACAGCAAATACAGTGTCAGGCCTCGAGAGTTTATTAAAATAAGCATAACATAAAAAGGGAAAACAGAGTGTCTATAAAACGAACACCATGTTCTTGCCATGTTTGGGTTTGTGCTGATACGAGGTGATCGCTCTACCACAATGCATATCCTTCAACCCATTTTGTTAAATTTAACTATAAATATAAATTAATCTAAAGTGAAGCATAAAAAGAATTTGGATATTTTTGTCACACTCAATTAGTATGCATTCCATTGCTTTAGAAAACAAAATATTAAACATCTACAAACAAATTACAGTAGACTATATTTTCTCAGAACTAACTTAACCATTTTGGTTAATATTCTTAACTAGGGATGCACGATATTATCGGACCGATTTTGGAATCGGCCGATAATTGCTTTAAATGTACATATCGGCATCGCCCGATATGAAAAAATTATGCCGATATGTCTTGCCAAGAGGAATAGGTTAACTCACATGTGCTCAGGGTGTGCTAGCGATTAGATCAAGTCAGCAGTGTGACTCATTTTTGAAGCAAAGTTTGCCTGAATGGTGATTAGATTCACTGCTTTGGATCGCTGCATTTAAGAATGACAAGTTCGGTGTATGATAGAGTAAACAGTAATAGCACATGCAGCGGCAGCCTCCCCCGGGTCCTAATGCCGTTCGGTAAGGAGTTTTAATTCCGTAGGGGGCGCTGTTGGCCTACTTTTAATAAAATGAAAGTAAAATTACACAAATAATATTTAGACTGTGTTTCTGATTAAATAAATCAGTAATTGATGTCATAAAATCATGAGTATGTTTTAATTTAAAGGTCAGAAGCTATAGCTTACATGAATAAAAAACATCACACACAAACATGACACTTGTAAATTAAATAATTTTTATATATTCTGATTTATTCTTTAATGTGTAATATGTTATATTTTTTAAAGAAATTATGAGCTCTAAAAGATTTTCCGAATTTTTACAACTCTTTTGCTTTAGACCATCTACAATGTTAAATCTTAAAATAAAATGCTAAGGTTACTACAGCATCTTTCTGAAAAAAAAAAATGCAGCGATTGATATATAGTTTATTTATAGTTATTTTCAAAGCTTCAATGTACTGTCATTATAAAATAACTTCATTATTGTTTATTTAATTCTAACAAATAAGTTATTGTTAAAAACTAACCAAAATTTAAAAAAAAATTGCTTATAATTTCCACACTGGAGAGACTTGGTGTTGTTTCCAAACAAAAGGAAATATATCGGCATCGGCTAGCGGCCAAAAATAGTTGAAAAATGTCGGCATATCGGATATCGGCAAATTTCCAATATCGTGCATCCCTATCAATCTTAACCAAATACTTTTGGTTCAAATTTGGTAAACATTTTTTAAAAGCTTGTGTCCAGGTGATTGTCTGCTGATGTACGAAGTCAGTTTACACAGGTAAACTAGTTTATACTATTTGTAAGCTAGTTACACTATTTGGAGGCTACAGTTTTCATTTGTATTTAAGTTTATTTGCATTTAATTTGTAATTTTTGTATTTTTTCTTTCTTTTTTTCAAAAATCTATTGTTATATCGTTTAAAACCTAAAAATAAATAAATAAATAAATGTTGGTTAAGTTTGTTTGAGCTATTTTTCTAATTATAAATAACTTGTAGTGTTTATTATATATATATATATATATATATATATATATAAGAAAAAAGGAAAGAAAGAAAGAAAGAAAGAAAGAAAAAAATAATATTTAGACATAAATACAAAGTCACAACTGCAAATGTCAAAAAAATAAAATAAAATCATTCCTCACATCTTCCAGGCTCACGACAGCATGCTCTGCTGGAGCAGGACGAGGAACAGACAGCGACGGGCCAGGCAGAGACACGTTTGAAAGACGTCTTTTCCTTACACCGCTACAGTTGTTAGGGATCTTAAAGGCGCATCGCTTGTGATAGTTCAGGCCACATCCTAATAATCCACAAAGAAAGCTTTAGTGTTCAGGATTCCAGTCAGAAATAAGCCTGAGATTTGGTTTAAAGCAAGATCAGGTATATGATAAGAGTTTAGGTAAAAGGTCAAGAAGATAAAAATCAAGTATAAGGTTTAAGAATTCAAGATAAGATTACACACAGACAAAAACAAGGTGAATTTCATCAAACTTTTACTCCTAAACTCCAGCAGAGGGCTCCCCCTTCTCTTTGCAGACTTACAGACATATGGCCACTTAAGCATGTTTAGATACCTACTTAGAAACCAAATGAATCTCCTGAGGACTGGGCGGGGATTTTAGATATAGAGTTCATGATTTTTTTTTTCTTTTCCAAAGCACATTCACAAGAGTTTAAAGTGTAAAGTGCTTTAGCATGCTTCTACATATGAAGAGCTTGTATCCATCAGTGTGGCCTCTTACGACTGGAGCCCATAATCTTCATGCAGCTTTTGATTGTCACATCCAGAGCTTGGCAGAAACACTGGGTTCCATTCAAACAGCCCCCGATTTCAACTTCAAAGCCGGACCGATGGCAGCACTGACACATCGCACCGCTGGTCTGAATCCATCGCCTCCAGTCAGACTCAATCAGGGATCTTTAAAGCAGTCTCAGACTCACTCAGAACTCGAAACCAGACGAATACATTCAGATTCTTTTCAAAAGTGTTCTCTTTTTTTGCTGTTGTTGTTTTAGTCAGTCAATACTTTATGTAAATTTCATCAACTTTAGTCTCTTTTCCTGAAATGGCATATACACTACCGATGGAAGAACTCATTTTTATTTATTTATTTTTATTATTATATTTTTGGAGGTCTTCTTTGCTCACCAAGGCTGCATTTATTTGATTAAAAATACAGTAAAAGCAATATTGTGAAATATTATTACAATTTCAAATAAATTGTTTTCTATTTAAATATATTTTAAAATGTGACTTATTCCTGTGATCAAAGCTGAATTTTCAGCACCATAACTCCAGTCTTCAGTAACACGTGATTCTTCAGAAATCATTCTTACTATTATCAATGTTGAAAAAAAAATGCTTAATGCTTAATATTTTTGTGGAAACTATGATACACTATCATTCAAAAGTTTGGGGTAAGCAAGATAAAAAAAAATAAAAAATTTATTCAAAAAGGGTGCATTAAATTAATGAAAAGTGACAGTAAAGTTATTTATAATGTTACAAAAGATTTCTACTTCAAATAAATGTAGCTCTTTTGACCGTTCAGTTCATCATAGAATCCTAGAAAGAAAAAAAAAATCAAGTATCGTGATTTCCACAAATATATTAAGCAGCAAAAACTGTTTCCAACACTGATAATACTAATAAGTATCAATAAGAATTAAGCACCAAATCATACAGATATTAGAATGATTTCTGTAATCACAGAGTTCAATTAAATAAATAAAAATAATATGATAATAACATTTCACATTATTACTGTTTTCACTGTATTTTTGATTAAATAAATTCAGCCTTGGTAAGAATAAGAGACTTCTTTAAAAAAATCTTAATTATTCCAAACTTTTGACTGGTAGTGTAAATGTTTATATTATTAATATTAATAAATGTGATTTGATTAATGTAGAATATGCATAATGTCTTTTTACTGCTATGTAACCCATGGTCCTGATATATACTAAAATCAACATTTTTATATTATTTATGTATGTATTTATTTTAAATTTATTTATTTAAAAATAATACCAACTTTTTAATGCACAGAAGGGGCATGAACATATACACCCAACAATCACAATTGTGAGACATGATTGCTGAAATGATTGATTCTCATGCACAGCTGACAGAAAAAACAGAAAAGTGTACTGTTTCTCCTGGCAACAGCCTGTTTGAGACAGTGGTAGACTCACTTGACAGAGTTTAATTAGTAATAGTCATAACAACACCCTTTTACCCACAACAAAAATTCTAATATCTTAACTTTTCATTCATATGCTTCAGCAATGATAAAGCCCTATTGGCTCTGGCCACTGGGGAGGCAGTGAGCAAATGTTTCTTTAAAATACATATTGTTATATGACTGCTACCTTCACATTTGAGGCCCTGTCGGACGAGTCCCCACAGCATCTCTCCGCAGTAGTCGCAGAAGGTGGGCGCTTTGTAGGAGTGGACGTAAAGCGCATGGGGTCGGATCTGGAAGTCTTCCACTGTAGCTTGAGCTGTAATCAAAATGCAACTTAAAGGACAACTCAGGCGAAGAATGGATGATGCAACAAAACACTGAACAAAATGATACAAATGAGCACAAAATGAATCAAAAGAACAAAATACATATAAAACATTAGCAGCATATAATTAGGAGTCATAATGTTTCACAACAATCCAAATAACAATGAAACTACTTGTTTGATATGTTTTTTAACTACTGGTCCAACCTTGTTTAGACCAATGGGAGATGAGCAGTTTGATTTCCTGAAGGCAAAACCATAAGGGCCTTTCGCACCGCAGGAACCTTTTCATAGTACCAGAACTTTAGTACTGTACATTTAGGTCTGGAACTAAAGCGGTGCGAAAGGCCCTATAGACGCAACTACACAAGGCTGTACTGTAAGGTCTGATCCAGGGTCAGTGATTAACTGATGTGACTCAGGCTAGAATGAGTCCATTTGGATGATTCATGCATTTGATGATACAGATTCATTCATGCATTTGATGATTCATGAATGAATCTGGGACTGAAAGAACTGAATATCACTTCATGTGTGTGATGTGAAAGTCAACATGTAAGCCTGTGAAACAACACGCCACTTCAACTGTTTCTGCAGTTCCTGTTTTATAGTTTGTGGTTTAATACACGACTGGCTGACTTGAGTAGCGCACAGTGTGACTGTACTGGCACTTCAGTATTACTGTTCTTGACAGACTCTTTTTAGTGAGACATAAGCCCCATATACCAAACAAATTTACCATATACCGATCTGAGAATCAATCAATCATTATTGGGACACTTTTTTGATAGGGGCCTGTGCGTTTGATAGGGGCCTGTGCGCCTCTGGTTTATCCTGATACACACAACATTAACATTTTCTTGTCAGTCGGTGAGTCAGAAAGCATCTGCCAAGGACACAAAATGCACTGCTAAAATTAAAGAATAAGGTCAGGAAATATTTGGTGCATGGCAAACAACATGCAATCTCCCATTTCTGATTAAAGGAAAAAGAAGAGAAAGAAACAGTGTCCTAGATTTCGGTCACTGTGTCACAGGCAGGGCCGTCCTTAGCTGAAGCGGGGCCCGGTGCGAGGTAGGGAGCGGTACCCCTGCTATTGGGACGTGAAGAGACTTTAAAGACGCAACCTTTTTCTCTACCCTTTTTGATATCAATCTAATATAACACCAAATTCACTTCAATTCAAAATCCTGAACATTCTCAGGATTTTGATGGAATGGGAGGGAAGTGATCTGATATCTGTTCAAAAGTACAGAAGAGTACTTAAGAATCATGATATTGGAAATGTTGGTTATAGCATTATTCAGGTCTTGGATTCTTCAGTTTATTACCAGTTCACATTTTTTACATTTATTGTATCTAGAAACTTGGTTATCTCTCCAAAACTCAAATCTAGGATTTAATTTGACTGTGAGGCATTTCATATGTGCCAAGTCTGTGAAAAGAAGTCTAAACACACCTTTACACTGCCAGCACACAGAAGTGGTATAAAACCACAAAGCTGCGTTTACACAAATCTTTATTAGCAGGAAACTGTGAATCGCACACTTGAAAGTTAACTGTTCGTTCTTGTGCACCGTTGATAGAACATGAGACATGCTGCCTCACAAAATGCACAAAATACAGATTTTCAAATCGACTAGTTGGGGGTTGCCTAGAAGACTAGTTTTCTAATCCGTCCTAAGGAAGTCCTGTATAATTTTGGTTTCAACTGACCCTGAACAGATACATATCTTAGGAGACATTTACATCAGATTTGTCAACTCAAACTCTCTGGGACTCTAAATTGAAAATTTGATGTTTTACTAAGTGTATCTTCCAAATATTCTATTTTAAAATGAGTTAATAATGAGAATTTCCCCAGGTTTCTTTCAGGTAACTAAAACAACATGCTTCTTTTGGTAACATCAGATTAATAATTGATTTTATCCAAGTCAAATTATAATGCAATGTGACATATAGAAATTTGATTAGAGAATTTTGATTATTTACCTTACGATTGCATTGCAAAATCTGAAATTTGGTCATAATTCATTGCAAACCAATATTATGGAACAATTTACAAAAATTTCCAAACTTTTCAAAATGTTATTTTGGATAAGAAATGTATGTAGACTGTTAGACATTTCTGTAATTTCTACAGTTATTTACTGTATATTCCCCAGTATAATACTGAAAATTCCATTTACAGTAAGTAATTGTAATACCCTTTGCATCATGGGAATTTTCTGTGACGTCAAACTCCACATACAGTGACTTACTGTATTTTTTTAAAATTGCTTTATACTACTGTATTTGCCGTAACGGCCTCTGTGGCGCCATTCCATTGAGGTTGATTTATTTTCCTCACTTCTTACATTTGGATTGACAAGATTTGTCCTGCACCGTGTCTACAACACCGCAACAGCTATACTGGCTACGACTATACTGGACGTGTTACATCGCTTGTAATGATTGGCAAATATGTTTGCCCTTCGTGTCAGAAACAGCGCGAGTGCTTGGAGTACATCTGTACGTCAGAAATATACCGGGGCATCACTTTACTGTCCGCATCCATTGTAGATAGTATCTAGGGCTGCAACAACTAATCGATATAATCGATAATAATCGATAATGAAATTCATTGTCAACGAATGCCATTATCGATTAGTTGGGCTGAGCACGTGACGGGGGAGCGTGACGGCAAAATAACGCACGCGATATGGCGGAGAGTACAGATCAACCGGCAGCAGGAAAAAGTGTGCGTCCCAAGTCATCCAAGGCTTGGGAGCATTTTATATTAAACGCAACAAAGAAGACTGTAACCTGCAAGCTATGCAAAGCTGAGCTTGTGTGGCATGGAAGTACCACAGTGATGCACGAGCACATGAAAAGAAAACACACTGGTGTTACGGATGAAGGCGAAACATCAGCACGGTAAGCAAAAACCGTAAGTTATATCCTCATCATATGAAAATGGTATAGTTTAATGAAGTGCTATTGTGTAAACTGTTTGTTTGCTAACTTCGGGACAGTCGCACTACATCTGTTCTGATGCGACTCGCGAGCATCAGGTTGCGCAATCACCCCCACAGAATCAGTTAAATTAAAACGGTTGCGAACTGCGTCAAACACTAAATCTAAAAGCAGCGAATAACAGCTGTTAGTCAGTGTTGTGGTTTTCAGCGAATGCTTACGCATTTGTGCACCAATGCATATTTTTTTCCTTTCTTTTTATTCAAGCCTGTTAGCTTGCTGCGTTTCTCCGTTTCGTTCTCTTTTTTTATAGCATTTGTCTACTACAACAGTTAACTTATTTTTTTATTTTTTTCAAACGTGATTTACTGCAGCTTTGCTACATTAACATGATTGTATTCAATGTTTGTATATTTCATTTATGCATATACCGTGCCGCTCGCATCCGAGGAAGACACGGAACCCACAGGGCAGCGCCGCGGGTTTTGCCTGGGGATGAACCCGCGAGAGTGGAAGAGTTCCGGAGAATATCCGCGCTGTGTATCAATGCACCTTACGAGAGAATAAGACCAGCAAGCAAGGTAAAATATATGTATGTATGTCTCTGTGTGTGTTTTGTCAGATTTTTGCACACCAGTTAACAAATTACCCATTAACATTGAGGTAACCCTACCTAGGCAAACTGCGCTGTCCTTT